CCCCCCCCCCCCAGGGGCTCATCCAGCGACCGCCCGCACCCGCCCCTGCACCTGAAGGCCACCAGGGGCGGCGACACGATGATCCTGCAGCGAGCAAAGCGCGCCTCCAGGTCCTTCACGCACGTCTCCAGGTGCACCTCCCCCGCGGCGCAAAGCACGCGCTCCCCGCTGGCGCGCGCCTCCAGGCGCACCATGGGGTCGGCGCGGGCGAGCAGGGCCAGCCCCGCCTCCAGCGCCGCCAGGTCGGCGGCGTCGGCCGGCTCCACCGCCACGCGCACGATGGGCGCGGCCTGGAAGAGGAGGGGCGCCAGCGGGCGCACCCGCGCGCCGGGCGCCAGCGTGGCGGTCTTCAGGATGGCTTGGCCCAGCCCCGCCAGCGCCAGCACCTTGCCGGCGGGGACGGCGGCGAGGGGCTCCAGGCCCCGCCCCATCATCAGGTAGAGGGCGGAGGGGGTGACGCTGCGTGCGGCGGCTATCGCGGCCGGGTCGGCCGGGTTGTGTGTGTCGGGCAGCACGCAGAGGGCCTGGCCGGTCCGCAGCGTGCCGGCAAACACGCGGCCAAAGGCGAGGAAGATTTCTTGACTCGGGTCAGCGCTGGGTGCTGTGCCGGGTTGCCTGAGATGAACGGATGAGAACAGAAGAGGGGTGACACGGATGAGTGTTAGTGTGCAGTGCAGTCCTTGTCGGGGCCTGACGCCGCAGTTGCCCAACATGGCTCTACCCCCCCCCCCTACAGAAGCTGCCGTCGACCCCTGCCGCAAGAGAACCCATTCTGCCTTCCCTTCCCAGACCCCCCAAAAAGGGAATACAAACAAACACCTGGGCAGGACGTTGGCTGGGACGGAGATCATCTTGGAGATGTACACGAGGGGCGGGCCGGCGGGCGTGCACTCACGCATGGCCCGCTCCTCGGCCTCGAGCTCCAGCGCCACGCCTTCTTCCGGGGCCAGGCCGCGCAGCGCGGCGTCCCGCGGCGGCAGCAGGCGCGGCGCGCGCCGCGGCGCCGCCGCCACGGGCGAGGGCAGCGCCG